GTGCTAGGGTCATGATTTTTAGATGGTAGGTAGCTCTCGTGCTCAGAAAGAAGTGCCGTAAGTTTGGGCCCCGTAGCAGCTTATTTGGGAAATGCAGAGGCATTTGTTTGAAAATGTTTGAAGTAGGATAGCTCAAGAACCGGTTGACGGATTGTTGTTATTTTTGGTATCTCGGTAGCTTAAGTGATGCTTGACCTAATTAGATGACAATTATGCAAATCACAATCTAATTTACATAATTAATGACAAAAGTCTATAAATCTGCTGCGTTCCATGATAGAACAATTGAAATGGTGGCATATTTAAACAAGAGGAAGAGGAACATTGACAGATATTAATTATGTAAATTGTGACCCAATTTGATTAATTAATAAGAGAAATCTATATGTCTTTCATACTGCACTAGACCTTTTTGGTTTCCACCCTCTGTGGATTACATTGCTTTATGCCCACAAGGATAGCTGGAAAAAACTTTCCTGTTTGTTGAAACAACAGAATCCTTGCGAAATTGGCGAAAGTGGCACTTAATGCTGCATTAATACTGAAAGTTTTAATACTGGGTTAATGCTGGGTTAACGACTCGCCCAGCCTTCAAACACACATAGATACATCATTCATAATGTACAATGTAGAAAAGGCAATCTTTCTTTTTATTAATGTTTGTTACATGTACTGGAGCAACTGCATAACTCTTGTAAAATTTGTGAACCCTGACACAAGACTGCACAAATGTACACGCTAATGTTGTAGGGAATACAGGAAACCTATTCATATCTAGGTTAAAACAACAAGTTACAGACAGGAAGCTGTCAACATTGGTTTTAGTTGAAAAAACGTTTTCTTTGAAATTGTTTGTTGAAAAAACATTAGTGGCCCAGTGCCCCAGCAGAGCGTGCTTTATTTGACAGGTCTGTGGCCCCCAGTGTGAACATCTGGAATTAGCCTGGTTGCCAGACCCATAGCACACTGGACACAAAGTATCTCAGTTTGGCACCCAGGTAAATCTGGAATATGGATAATGTGAATAGGTTTCCCGTAATACCTACAACATTAGCATGTACAGTTGTGCAGTCTTGTGTAGTACATTTGTGCATATCGTATCGTAATGCAACAGGAGTTAAAGATTTAAACCCGATATAAGGTCACAAACTTTGTTTTAATCGATAACATAGTTGGTATACTGTACACAATGGCCAGGTCACTAGAAGGAAGTGGTCTGAACGCATTGAGCAGTATCTAATCTTTATAAGCTTTGTGGCTTTAGCGAGGAGCACGGCGGTATTCTATGAATGACTTTGAGTTTGTATGCCTGTAATCTTCTTCATAATGGTCGTGTGGAGAGGGAATAGAGAAGCCCTGCCATTGAAAGGATAGATTTTCACGACCATATTATGGTCCGATGGGCCCCCACAAGAAAACTAACATAGCCAAACTGCGTCGCCAACCTGAGAAATAACCAGTAAATAACTACTAGTTCAAAAATTGAAGATTGTTAAATTGCAACTAGGATACATATTTTATTTGAATTCTATCCAGGATAAATTGCATTGACAGGATAGACTGGGACGGTTAGGTAGGTCACCCGAGGCTGACCTCAGCCCTGCCAGTCGTACCTCTGGGAACGTCCCCGGAGGACCTGGGCTAATCTATACCACTATCCGGGCTGGAATAGAAAGTCGGGCTGTTTCCTGCTAAAAGTTTGATACGACGGCCCCTCTAACAAGTAAGGCATATATGATAAATGAGTTTCTCTTTGTGGAGGAAGACTAACTTTCTACCAGGCACCATGGATCACTGGAAAAATAGTAGAAAACGGCCAAAATAAAGGGAATAGTATGCCGCTAAAGGGTCAGATAGCCCGCTAGAGAGATACAACTCACCGGGAGGAACCCATTTATCTTACATACCACATACCATCACAACAATTGGCCAGTTTGTGTGATTTTGTAACTTGCAATTGTCTTCAATGTATTGGACATCGCACGCTTCAACAACACTGGCTGCATAGAAGAATAATTTAGTTGAAGGAGTTTTTGCCGTTTTGAAGTTTGGATCACCGCGTATCGGAGGGAAGAAAACAACCTTTCGCGGCCAGACTCCCCAGGCCAATTCTCCTCTTCTTTTTGCCGAATTCTACGATCCGTATTTCCGTAGAAAGACATGGTACAGGCTTGGTGAATAGTCTGTTGCTTCGTTCACTACGATAATCATCTTCACAAAAAACCTACACTATACACACACACAACACCCACCAAAACAATATCACACTGTCGAAGGCATGAGACCTCCGAACTCTAGTTGTATTATAATAACGCAGCCTACATGACATTGTGTAACTATGCCTTGGCCTGTTTTTATTTTTTTTGTGACTGTTGCTTCATTTTTTTCTGGAAAAAATCCAAGAACCAACAAATTAAATTGCTATGGCCATATTTTCAAATGGAAATTAGCAACACTAACAACTACAATGTATGTGTATGCAAACAGTGATGAAAATTTAAAAGATAAACATTTTACATTAGTACTTTTAGAATGATTAGATTTAGCTACATTTCACAATATCCCAGTATTACAAGAAGATCTAGAGAGCCTTTGAAATTTACAATGAATTTCAGAATCCATAGAGGTAGTAACATTACATTTTTACATTCTATTTTGTAACTTACTGTTATTCCTACAACATGAAATGTATTACTTTGCTACCTGGAGAAGTATGGCTACTACTTATATAACTGTCCGACTGGCATTTGGAATTCACAGTGCATCACATAGATTGTTACTATGAATGTAATTAAGACTCAATTGTCAGGAAATATGTTCTGCAGAAATAAAAGCGTAAATTTTAAGCCACTTACTGTTGGCACCAGGTGCAGCTTTGCAGCACACAATTTTCTTAAATGACAGTTTTATCTGACATGAAATATGGCTTTCCCACTGGCCTTGGGTGTGTGGAGAAAGTTGATTTCTTTTGTTTTGACATCAATGCAGCTTTTATTGATTCTTCATAACTTAGTGTAAGGAACAGAGTATGAAAGAAAAAAATGATTAGGAGATTGGAAACAGGCAAATGGCTGTAGAAGAGTGGTAGATTTTCTCAGTCCTAACAGTTTTTAAACAATGAAAACAACACTAATTTTCATACGTTTAAAGCAATACCCAATTTAATTAGTAGTGTGTCATTTTTATAAAAGGATCCTAAATCATACCCCTTCCCTGGACATTTCCTTGTTAAGGTTATTGATAATTGTTAACCAGATCAGTAGTTAAGGATGTTTATTGTTGACCCACAGCTGGGAGAGGGGGAAGGAGTGGAGACTCCTCAGCAGAAGTTCCAGCGTCTTCAGTGTGAGATGAAGGAACTGGTGGAAGATGTCGAGAAACTTAAGGTGTGTCCATACACAAACAAGATCATGTCCTCTAAAAATAGAATGTTTTATATACATAATTTATAAATAACAATACAAAAGTCACAGTGAAAACCGTGAACATAACAGCACTAGAGCTGTGTACCTAAACAAATTTTAGGTACAGGTACAGGTACAGGTACACAGGTTTAGGTACAGGTCCGGACCTGAACCTGTACCTGAACAATTCGACCAATTTATATGGTCTTCTGAACTCCTTCAATAACAAAAAATACATAAATAAACTTGATAGTTAAGGTTTATTCTTTGTTTATGGCGAATGCTCAGATAAAATATAGGCAAAACTTAAGTGTTTTGTTTTCATGAACACGCTGTCCTTACACAGGGACCCATTGTTAACCACCTTTATACACATTTGAGGTCACAAATAGGCATAAAATTGGTGTGAAATTGTTTAGGTACAGTACCGGTACTGAGGGAGTAGGTATTTTGGACCTGTACCTAATCAGTTTTTCCGGTACAGTATCGGTACTGCATACCGGTACACAGCTCTAAACAGCACCATGAAAAAATCAGTAATTACACAGTAGTATAGTAATAATTACAATGTTTCAGAAAGGTTTATGAAAGACTCAGTTTCTTTATGATTGCACTGGTATAGAAGTTAAAAACCATAAGAGAATTCTCCAAACCCTGCTAAAATATTGGATCTAAAAGTAAATGTTTTGTTTTGGTTTTCCCAGACTGCCATGAAAGACACGAGTGAGACGGACCAGCTGAACCCTGTGCAGGTGTCCCAGCAGGTGCAGGTGCTGCAGAAACAGCTGTATGAGCTGCACCTGGAACAGACGTTGGGACAGGAGGCAGCTGCTGACATCACTGATCCTCACAATGCCCTGCCAAAGTCAGTACATGCAATTTCCATCAAGAATGTGACATACACATATACAACCATGTTATTCTTACTTCAGGTTAAGACATATTAGGTCATGCTGATTTGATTATATGGATTACATTGTCTGGAAGCCCCAAAACTGATGTGAGAAAAAAAGTTTGGCAAAAAAAAAGTTGCCTTTATTATGAAACAATGTGGCCATGAAGGTTTAACAAATGCGTAAATACACGAGTATGGTTTGGCAAAATGATAGACTCTTCATTTTCATTTCTTCACAATTTCTTCTTTTCCTTTGGAATTGATTTTGGCCTTTTGGCAGACAATGTTATAAAACTACATCTGTGCTGTACAGGAAGGTGATCACACAACTGGATGCCATAAAGAGTGGAAGTGCCACGGCTAAGACCCCCTCTAAGAAGGGTCTGTTCTCCCGAGCAGCCCCTGCAGCCTCCACAGACCAGCAGGTCACATACGAGCTGTACTACAGACCTGAGCAGGCCAAACTACGGGAGAAGGCCAAGGTGGGAGGGGATTACATTTGATTTGATGGGTCATATTCGTGAGTTGAATGGTCATATTACTGTAATGTGTTGAATGGGCATGTTCATGTGTTGATTATAAAGTGTAAGATCATTTTTCAAATTGTTAGTGGTCTTGTGTGCCACTGTGTCCTTGCATGTAACATGTTGTAGTATGTCATTTGAAACAAGAAAGGCATTGCTTATTACCTGTACCAATATGTTTGTTTGTAACATGTATTCTTTGGAGATACAACTATGTGACATTAAAAATTGTTTAGTACATAGTATGTTTGTTGGCACACAGACTGTTTTTATAATTTGATTGTTGGTCAATTTAAGGCTCACAATGAGTTGATAATGCATACAGCCAAGCCAAACCAGAAAACGTCTACCTCATCTGTATTTCTATACGTAATGTGCTGAAATTTGCCTTCCAGTTGGGACAGCTAGAGGACAGAATACAGCGGTTGGAGGCAACAGTTGGACACAGCCCTGAAAAAGTGGTAAGGACCTGGACTAACTTCAGTTAGGAATGTAAACACAGTATGGTAGTTGTTGATGTAGATATACATGTATCTCAGATGGTGTAAACATGCCCCCTAGCAGCTGGCTTAGTATTGCAGCAGGTGATACATGACCCAAATTGCATACATGTATACAGTAGTGCCAATAAAAAATGTGAAATGCTATTTCCTGCATTTTGATGGGCACATTTTGTTGATAGGCTAAGCTTAGCTTAATGATATCTCTTTCTGCATCTGTACATGCTGATTTTTGTCCGTCAAAGATGATGGATTGGGTAAAATTTTTGTCTGTCATGAAAGGCAAAATTACATCAAAAGACGCAAAGACAGATGCTGGCTAGAACACTGTTTGATTGTTTCCCTTGTCCAGTCTGCCCTGACCAGAGATGCCTCCACCAAGAGCCTGATGGGAGCTGTGGCGACCCTGGAGGCCAGGACCACCATGTTAGACCCCATCCAGCTGGACCACATCGAGGCCAGGATGCAGGGGGTACTCCAGAAACTAGCTGAACTCAACAAACAGAGGGCAGCAGTGGAGGATGCTGACAAACAGAGCAAGGTACCAGGGACTACATCAGCTAACATTTCACCTTTGACCCACAATTTGATTGGCAGAAATTTTAGATAAGTTTGTAAATGTCAGGAGACAAAGGATTAGTTTTCCTGAATAAAGCAGAAGCGATCTGTCCAAAATATTTCACTTTTTCACATTTCAAGAAAAATCTTTGTCAGAATACCTTAATACATTTGTACAACTCACACATCTTTTTCTTGTGATATTTAATCTATAGTTCAAGTAAAAGTTTCTCCTCTGCTATGTTCTGACCAGCCTTTGTTAGTTTGTTGATTTGGACAAGTTAAGATTTTAGGAAGTTATCAATATTGCTTAGTAGCTCTGCTATGAGATAAGTGCATGTGTAACAGTTCCTATTTTAAAAAAAAAACACTGAAAAGAACTACCATTGAGTAGTATTGACTGGTAAAACACTGTTTATTCCCCTGCAGATTTCCGAGCTGTATGACCTGATGAAGAAGTGGGAAAGCATGGCCAACAGCCTGCCACAGGTGGTGGAGAGGATGGCAGCACTCAGTGAACTACATCAGCAAGGTAAGGCTGGGGTGGACCAAGTAATATAACATCGTGCAGAGGGGCATGTCTTTGAAAATAGAAGAAAACTTGCACTGTAAAGAAAAACTGCAAGAGGGGAGACCTGTAGTCTTGCTCCTAATATTGCTGATATTGAAGTTTACAGTTCTAAAATTCAAGCACTATTTTTGTAATTTTTATTTTTGTAATTTCCAATAGCCATGCAGTTTAGCCAGGCCTTGAGCCAACTGGACACCACCCAACAGCAGCTGTCCACCACTCTCAAGTCCAACACCACTATGGTCAAGGAGGTCAGTCTTCACTTTAACTTTACAACTAGCAGTCTATATCTCTATTACAAGTTTGAAGTAGATGTATATGACTTTAAGTAATGCTAGGAATTACCCCACGCATTTTTGGTAACAGTGCTATCTCTGTATCTTCAGAAAATATTGCCATGAACTGGCTTTAAACTTGTGTATTGATATTTCACATGCAGTTTATGTAAACTTTGCCTTATATGTATTAGCTTTACCAAGAAACATTTCAGGCTTTTTGTTTCACTTCATCTGTTTGTCTCGTCTTTTCAGCTCCAAGACAATTTTGCTGCCAACATGGCCACCATAGAAGCCAACTGTAAGGCCCTGGATGCACGACTAAAGACGGTGAAGAAGTAACTTGTGCAGCTTCAGTTCAGTTGATCGATAGTTTTATGTTTCAAGACTTTGCTGGATGCACACAACATTATCTGAGTTATCAGACCCATTTTCACCTTTGTATCTTACTGAAGCTTTCTTGGATTATCTTTACAAGGGTATCCGATTCTCAATGGTAGGTTTCAACCAAAACTGCAAATTTTTGTCAGTCCATGTAATTTATTGCTATTGGCCTGAGCATCTATGAAACTGCATACTGTAAATGTAATGTGCAAGGCATAATGCAGGAAACGTCTTGAGAATGCTGCAAATTTAATGGAAGCAATGATTTATACCATGGTACACTTATTATTTGCACTGTTGTGGGGTCGATGAAAAGTATATTTGATGCGTGTAAGAAGTTGGGATTTAAGGCAAGTGATGCCAACATGGTGCTGACAGGAAACATAAGATTGGTCTGATATGTTGTGTGGGTTTATTTTTTAAGAGATCAACTACATTTACCGGCAATGCTATGGCCAAGTAACCACTATACAAAGGTGACCGCTAGTACAGGTTTGACTGTATTTGCTTTCCGTATTGATAATTGATCCTTAGCCATAGAGTAACCATGAGCAGGCAATTGTTACTTGGGATGTCAAATGCAATTAAAAAGTTGTCTCACAATCATCAATGAGTTTCAGAGTGTTTTGTCTCCTTGTTATCGATACATTCATTCACATTATCTGATAAAAATCTGTGGTAGGGATTTCTCTCACAATCACAACACGTTTTAACATCAACCATTCAATGTTAGAACGTTTGGATGCTCATACATTAAACATTCATTCCCTAACACACTCAGACAAAAAGAAGACCAGAATGCTGACATGTCTCCAACGGAATACGACAGATTTTATTATAATATCATCTAGAAGCGTAGCTTCTGGAAGAACCACTTGTTCTTGCCGGTCTTGTATCTGAAACAGGAGGAAAATGTGTCAAAATAATGTGTCAAAATGACATAGCAAGAATTTAGTGGGCCTTTCTTTTCCATTGTTCCATTGTCAAATTAACCTTTCCGAAAGCAGTTTAGCATTAAATGTAATGTTGGAGTGTTTCGTCTCATAGTGTCATGAGAAGAGACACTGTAAGATAGCGACACACCGTTGCTTTTTGCAGAGGGAACGCCATACAAGTAATGAGGACTGCTTGTCTGGAACTAGTTCTGCAATATCAGTTCATCTAGATGCACACATCACTATTTAAAATCTGTAATATTCTTCGAACAAGCAAAGAAGTGAGGTGTACAACAAATATTGTAGGTACAAAACTGTTACAGAAGATACAGTGATAAGACCTACCTCTCCTCAAACTTGAGTTTGGCTTCCCGCTTCGCCTTGCGTTTCAGCGCAGGATCCCTGAACACATCCTTGTTGATGAGGCCCTTGTCAAGTGGAACATCAACGGAGTATCTGTGGACAATAAAGCAAGACATATCAATTACACTGACAGCTACTGTAAAACTACAAAAAGGAAGTTAAGCATTTACTACAAAGAACATTTTTCATTCAAATATGAAAATTTTCTGCCATCAAGATGTTTATATTGGCCACATCTGTGTCAAAACTGGAAACAGTTGAAATCAATGTTCTTCAGCATGGTTTCAATGTTTGATATCAAGTGTTGGAGTGTTTCGTCTCAAAGTGTCATGAGAAGGGACACTGTAAGATAGCGACACACCGTTGATTTTTGCAGAGGGAACGCCATACAAGTAATGAGGACTGCTTGTCTGGAACTAGTTCTGCATGAAGTCTTACGTTGTGATGATTATGTTTGTATTAAAGTCTCTTCTATCCACAATATTAAGTCAGGCCATGTTGATTTGGTTATATGGATGACATCCGCACATGAAGTTTTGTCCGTTTCCAAAAAAAAAAGCTTTTGACCATAAGGCCTCATATGGCCTAGAATAAAAGCTGATGTTACATACCTTGTGGGCATGATGTGGTTGTAGTTGCACACCTTAACGAAAGCCTTGACCTTGGACCTCTTGGCCAGGCGTTTCTTGCCCATCCTGGCAGTCACACGGCGAGGGTAGCGGTCCATGCCGGCCACCAGCGCATGGCCATAGGGTCTGTCGTGGGTACCCTCATCATAGTTCTGTACACAGAGGAAGGCAGTCAGCATTTAGATCATCAAAGAATGCATTGCATTTTGTGAAGTAAATTCAAGAAAAGATGTGTAAGGGAAAGGCCCTAATATAAAAGGTTCAAAGATGTGATACAAAAAATAGTTTTGCTAGTAGTATAACACAACTTAGCCATTAAATGGACATGAAACTTTTTTGAAGCGGTTACAATTAAGTTAACGCGTAAATGTGTATTGTTGGAGTGTTTCGTCTCATAGTGTCATGAGAAGGGACACTGTAAGATAGCGACACACCGTTGCTTTTTGCAGAGGGAACGCCATACAAGTAATGAGGACTGCTTGTCTGGAACTAGTTCTGCAATTCTACGGCCCACATGTCACATACTAGTATACGATGGCGTTACATTTTATATAGCTAAGCTTGTTATTCAGTGTCACAAATTTACTCCACTGGACATGGAAACATGGGTTTGGAGAAGGAATTCAAACGTTTGCCACCATCTTATCAAGGAAATTTGATATACTAGTAAGATACCCAACTCAAGTCCGAAAGATCTTCTAGTACATGTTGCCCCCCTCCCCCATCACTGCAAAGTGTGCACACACGGACAAACACTCCGAGGGTCTAACGTTACCGTAGGTTCCTTACCTTCACGATGACAGCTTTCCTGCCTGCATACTTCCCTTTCAGGACGAGGACGACTTTCCCTGACTTCAGGAACTTCCCCATTGTGATGCCGGCCTGGAAAAATTATGGACGATTCTGAATCAACTTCTTCGGCAAGGCAAAATATTTTAGTGGAAAACGGTAGCTACCGAGATAATTGTGAATAAAAATACTAGTACGTCCCGAAAACGCCAATCGTGATATCATAAAATGGACCCTTGGAACCATCAATGGGCAGCAAAATTCTACTTTTCTCAGTATTTTTCATAGTTCAGAGGCTTTGGTCATGCAGAAACGTGTATCCACACAGTCACAGATAACCATCATTTTTGTGCCACATATATCAGCCTGAACTTGAGATTATGAAACAAAATAATGACACTGATACGTTCCTTATACTTATATGGTTTTATACAACTCAAATATGGTACACTGGTTGGACATAAAACGGTGGATGGACACCGATTTCTTGGGAGGGTTGTACACTCACCTACACCAAGATGGCGGCCAGTGAAAAGAGACCGAGTAGAGCCTTCGCGGGGGGTCGTACATTTTTCTCTCTCGGTAAATCTCGGCGTACTGCTCTCGCGTAGCGCGAGACTTGGAGCGCCCTCTTGCGCTTTGTGTTATATCACTAGACGTACACAGGTAAGATGGATCGACAGCACAAGTACACAAGATTGGGACTTGGAGTCTACCAATTAATCACGAAGTTTACTTGTTAACTTGCTATCTTTTCAACCCCTTTCATGCTATCATTTCGATCCCATTTCTCAACAATTTTCAGCCTCTACCAGGCTTCGGGAAGCGACTGCTCTGGCAAACTGTACTCTATATCTAGCGGACCAACTCCCCTGGCATGCCATCTGTATATTTGGCCAATTTCTACTCTTTCCAGCCGCTTCTCAAAGCCAGCTGGTAGAGGCTAGAACATTTCCTCCATGAAGCAAAATGTACTGTTGAATGGCAAACCTTATTAAAAGGGCATTTAAGCCAGGAGTTTGCCGATCCCACACTAACATATCCCTACGTATACAATGTATATACAAAAGTTTTACACTTCATTAACTTCCAGAGGCAGTCTCTTAGTTTCACTTAGTAAATCCTGTCACCAAATGGTGAGTTTGATCAATTATGTTAATGAGATCAATACGAAGTAGCATATTTATTATATTGAACAAAGCTTTATTGTTGGCAGCATCTGTAACACTTTTGAATATTGAGTTACAATCATTATCATCAGTCGGCTGAGCTAGTGAAAATAATGCCTTGTATACATCATCAGTAGCTGTTATGTCTAAAATGATTTTACTCACGCAAAGCATTATATGATATTTGCTTATAATCTCACGAAAGGCATACATTAATATTATTTCTTCATTGCCAAGGCACTTGTGAAGTAAGTTGTTCGAGAAAGAGCCATGAATCAAACGTCACTACTACAACTTACAAGACCCTACAATAAGCGTATGCTATCGTACTAGACGAAACACAATTGCAGCATTTACTTTTGTAGTGTATATCCTTTTCTTTAACATTTACAACAGACGTCAAGTTTCTTTACTCTACTAATGCATAGTTAGGTTTCTTTTTCCCATATCTCATTGCGGTACATGTAATGTTTTTCTCGTTAATTTAACCGCTATTAGCATATGGTCTCAAAAAGGAATACATTTGTAAATTCCTTAAATGTTTCTCAATGCCTAAGCACCGTATTTTACATTCTTTACATTGTAAATTTTCATCTTCTTTTGTACAGATATTGATGGCTAAGCTTTTAGTCAAGATCAAGGAATTCGCTCTCATCCGGTGGAGTGAAACCGGTGTAGGTGGTTGGCTTGAAGTTGAATGGTTCAGGGTCGCTGTCTATTGGTGACTGGTCCCCATCGCTCATTGGCTGCTGGAAATTGAAACTGGTTCCCATTGGTGGTTGGAAACTGGTGCCCTTCGGTGGCTGGAAACTGGTGCCTGTCGGTAGCTGGAAGTCGGAACCCATCGATGATTGGAACCCGGAGCCAGGCAGTTGGAAGGTCGTGTCTATTTCTGGCTCTGATTCGTCGTCAGCAACTTCTAGAGAGCAACCATAAAATAATGATCTTAGTGTCACATTTGAAACAAAAAATTAATGGTAATTTCACTAATATAACTTAATTGGAATACTGGAGTCAGAATTCTGAGTCGGGGTCCGGCCGGACAGTTTGTGGGAACGAAATGACGTAGATGACAACAAAACACACAAAACATTTAAAAGATAATCATAATCATAATTTATGTATATTTATTTATTGATTGATTTTATGGATATGCGTTTGTTATTTTTCGTTCATTCAAAGAGCCCTGCCTGATAAGTGACTAATAAGTCAAAATACATGTAGTATTAAACCAATACGACATCATACTTTTATACATACATCTCTGTCAGTCAGCCTCAAAAGACAATGGTATAACTGCACAACAATAGGATAGTACAGTTCCAAATACAATGAATATTAAATGCATATTTTGCTAACCTCTATCAACAAATTTGACAGCCTTTGTTGAACCAAACAGGTCGAGGACGGCCCACAGTGGCTTGTCCGTCGGTATGTCGTTGAAGACCTCCACATCTTTCATCGTCTCCTCCCCATCAGTACCGGACAGTGAGTACACCAGCGATCCGCCGCCGTCTACGTGAAAGCTGAGCACGCTTCCCTCGGTGGCCACGTCCTCTCCCAGCGGCTCCAGCCAGTAGCCGTCCCTCTTGGCCAGGTCGGTCCCGAACAGCGGCAGGTCCGCCGGCTTCCAGAACAGGGGGTTCTCGGTGGTCACCCCGAACATCGCCGCGCACTTGGTGTCCGGCTCGCAGTCGGTGAACTCCACGGTAACCCGCTTGTTGACGCGGAACGGTTTGGAGGAGAAGGCGAGGGCCTTACTGATGTCTCCAGGGCGCCGGGCGGTTCTCTTGTCTTCTGAGAGCTCGATGTTAGCTCCGTGTACAGTGTGGAACTCAACACCCTGCAGTTCCTCAATACCACCTGTCATGCCTGGAAAAAAAAACAGCAATTATATAAATATATTAGGGGTTCTTGAAATAGAGAGAGGGTCAGGTATAAGAAGTCTGAAGTGTATAAACGAATTTACAAATACCGTGCGTTGAATACAGTGGAACAAGAAACACATTTTATCTCAAATTGTACTCTCTCTAGCAATAAGCAAAATTAAGTCTTTGCCGCAGCCTCCAAATTCTAGGTCCTAACTTTTACAGCTGAGCAAGCACAAATAAAATACCACTAAGGACGCAATGTACATGTGTGTTCAATTCTTTCCTATAAGGACAAATGATAAACTGAAAACCATCTATCTAATATATCGCTGTTATCATTTTTAAAAGTACAAATAAATGACGAGCCGTACATGACTTGGTAGACAAGACCAGCTACAATTACATAGCATATGATATCTTTGCTTACCTTCGATTTGATCCTCCAGTCGGCTTACGTCCAAATACCCTCCTGGTATGGTCCTGTGACGAACATGAAAAAAAAAACGGATCATGAAACAGCGAACAATGTTGATATGATATAATTACTAGTATTAGGTTCGAGGTTTATGCCAATTCTACACATCACAGCATCATTCTACACAAGATTTTCTCAGAATTTAAAACAGATTATCTGTGTTTGGTTCGTACAATATGCAAGGCATTCTGATATATCGTACCCACATCTATACCCTTGAACCTTGAACGGGACCCAAATCTATAACAGTAGTATATAATTGTAGTATATGACAGAGAAACATTTATACCTCAGGCATAAGTCAAGCGATTTGATGGTTGGCTCAAGAAGATCATCGTTAGACCGAGGGAACACCAACGTCTTTTGCTCGTCTCTCTTTAAAGAAAAGATCAAGATTAAGGTTATAACAATCACAGAGACACATATCAGACAATGAAAGTGTTACAATGTCATAACAAACATTACACACAACAATTACATGGAAGCAAAAATAACATCGAAGTACATAAATGTACAATTAAAACAGTGCGAAAAGGTACAGCCTAAATGGTTAACAAATGATTTTTGCTCGCTCTCTTGAAAGCAACGAGGCTTCTCTGACTGACTGAGATAGTTGGTCCCAGAGTGATGCGGTGTGTCATAAAGCTGGTTTTATAGCTAGGTCTGGGTCCGGCAGCGAGGAACATAAAGTATTGTTGCGTAAGCATCAAATCAACATGACCTTATTTACAATGAAAGACTTACAATAACCCAGCCAGCAGCAACCATGAACTGCATGACAGTCTGGGTAGCGGATGAAGCGGCAAAGAGGAACATCTTGTCTTTCACTTGGATAACTCTCGTCTCATCACTGCTGGGTCGGTTCAGAATTTTCCTGTAAAATCAAGAGAAATTTGGAACTGAAACAATTGTAATAACTGGTATGTTAAAACTTTTATGAAGGGGTTAACACACATACTTTTTTACTGCGAATTATCGACAACTGCCTTGTATATATCTGGCAAATGTTATGATCGAATTGTCCTGGTCAAATTTGGCTAAAACGTTGGAAATCTTAAGCTTAATTCCTTGTATAAAACTAAAATGTTAAATGGTATTTGCTTTATATTATATCATTTCAAACCTTTATAAATTGGCTAACATTTTTTTTTACTGGGAATTATTGTTAACTGACTAAATATCATATGAATGACCGAATTGTGCTGGAAAAGGCACACCTGACTGAAATGGTAGAAAAGTTAATTTCTTGCATAAAGCTTCGTTGCATTTCAAAGAATATTCCGTGTATGTACGAGTAGTTGTGTATATTCACCTTGTTTGCATCCGAATGTATGAGAGGGTAAATCTGGCCCTGTCAGCTGAAGCCTCTGCCTTGATGGCGTCAGCACACGCATCCAGGATCGGTACTTTATCCCGGAGGAGTGCCTGAAAAGATAGGTCCAAAAAGTTTAGACAAATGTCTTGTATTACTATCCGCTGTCACATTAAGTGTCCAACATTGGTAAATCAAAATAATTGCCACTTATTGCATTTGGGAAGTCAGTCCTTTCAAATTTTATGATGACTTGTACACGTGCGTAAACATTTTGTGCATACAGAGAAACCACAAAAACATGATAAAAGTAACGGTATTTGATGACTTTCAGACCATGCTCACCTCTATCTCCTCTGGAGATTTCTTTGACGAGTGTGCACCATTTAGGCCTGCACCGTTATTTGTTGGATCGCTCCCATCTGTTAATGTCAAAAGAGTCATGTAAGTGTGTGGTTGTCATTTTCTCACAGAGCACACATCTAGTAAAAGAAAAAGAAAATTGCAACCAGCAATGCCCTTTATAATGAGTTAAGAACACACCACGGCAATTATTGACATAGAGACTACTCACATGATGGTATGTCATAGAGATCATCGTCCTCAGTGTCCCATGGGTAGCCACTAGTCTCTGTCTCATCGGCATCAGTCTCTGCAGCCACTTTCTCATCTGAAGAAGATGCAACCCTATCAGAACTCAATTGTATGGATTGTATTTGTAAACCTTGATGTAACATTTAAGGAAACGTTAGTAGTGTTATTCCCTAGCTCTGAGCATTGAACATAACTTGTCCGGTCTTTCTACTCACCTTCATCAACATATGCGACCTCTCTGACCCGTCCTTGTAGGACCAGAATGACCCAGAGCGGCTGGTCTGTAGGGATGTTACTGATGAACCCTCCGGGCGGCTTGTCGTCAACACAGTATGTCAGGTTCCCTGTACAGCTCACAGATAACTTCAGCACACTGCCTCCATCCGTCAGGCTGTCGTCAAGCGGCCAGATCCAGAAACCATCCGAGCTCTTCAGCTCAGCTGCCTGCTTCGGTAGGTCCTCCAGCTTCAACGTGGAAGGATCCAGCGTTGTGATGCCGACGGAAAATGTGCCGCCGATAGCGTCATCATCAGTGGGCTCTGACATCTTCACAAGCACTTCTTCGTTGGCATTTATTTGCTTGGCACCGAAGGTGATGGTGCTGCTTGTATCAGTAGAGTTGTCCGTGTGTGTGGCTGTTCGGCCGTCATCTGACAGCTCAATGGCACTACCGTGTACCTCATTGAAGGCCATATCTGGTTATGAGAAGATAACAAACACTTTGGTTACACAGATGACAAAGACGATCGCGTTGCTATGAAAGTTTCTATTTTGATTCTACCTAGCAAGCCTTATAGAAATCTAGGAAACCTGCACGTCCAAATAGTTTAACGATGATACAAATACATGTCTTCAAGCTGCTTTGTCTTACAACATATGCCTGAGATTGTACCTTTCACTGTTGTAGTCTCAGGTACTCGCTCCGTATCACCCACTGGGTCTTTCCTTCCGTACAGGGAGATGGGCTCCGGGGGGAAGGAACTGTGGAAAAGCCGGAGAGATTTCACTTTCACTTTCGGTGGCTATAATTGTTCTCTGCATTAATATGGTATAAAGAAGTTTTTGTCATGATAATATGCTACCACTAGAATGCCGAGATGACTTCAACCGTTAATGCTCACCTCAGACATTCGTTGAGCACATCCAATGCAGGCTTTATAAGTGCATCGTAGTAATTTGGAAATACCATGTTGTCTCCAACCTGGAAAGAAGACAATTGATGACACTATTAGGATACCGCAGGAAAATATTTTTGCATTCATCGTAACATGTGTGTGTACACTGTACACAATTGAACAAATGTGCAATACTTCAATTTTGCCATCTGAGTTGTCGTAAGGATGTTCAAAGAAATATTGCGCAGATTGAGTATCCCTACCTGGACCCATCCTGCAGCCACCATGAACTGTTGGGCTGACCTGGGCCGCATGGCCTCCCAAAACGTGCCTGACCGGATATACACCTGTCTGTACCTCTCATCCTCAGGACTGGTCCACAGGTTACTACAAGGTAACGGAGTAATGTAGCATTTTAGTTTTCAAAATCCATAACCATAATGACCCACAATCCCATTGGTATTACCTAGGAGTAATTGAGTAAAAGTATTATGTTGTATTTGTGAATTGTAACGCAACGAAAGCAGTGAAATCATTTGCATATAGCAGTTCCTAAAAAAATTACTACATGCAAAACTGTTAAAGATAATTTGCGAAATGCCATGGATCAAAGTGGTGAAGACACAAGATATAGAAGGTGTTCTCCCTGACCTCATCCGGTTCACCAGGTACTTGAGAGACGTCTTGGCCTGTTCCGGCGTCTCGTCTTCTTTGATCACATCTACGCAGACCTTAAGGAGCCCGGTCTTCTCCTCCAGGGAAAACTGTAGGAAAGAAGGTACACATCTCTTCAGGTTGAGAAGCTCCTTCATATGACAAAATATTTAGGCTGGAACTCGTGTTGTTGGTGAGAGGACGCGTTGTGGCTGTTAACAGGAATTTGTTTGAAATGTGTAAAATATGGAAACATACCTCCTCTCCCTGCATCTTCATGATGAAGTCCATGCGCTCCTCTTTGGTCATGCTGTTTAAATCCACTTCTTCCTTCTCAGGAGGCTCATCTCTCCTGTCCTCATCCGGCGATGCAGATGCAGCTTCCGCCGGCTTAGGGGGAAATACATTTACATTTACATGTTCTGTTTATCTAGTATGTCTAGTGGAAGATTCTGTCATTACTGTCAGAGATGTAGAAAAAATTAACAATTACAAATTTACAATAATATTTAGTGTCCTTGACCATGTACCTGCTCATCCTGTGGCGCCATGTGTGTTTCAGGGAGGGGAACATCTCCCATTGGATCATACAGATCAGAATCCACGTCGAATGATGCAGCCTCAAGTTTTTCCTCCTTCTCTACATCAGCCCGTGAAGACGACTGCTCAGAACCTTTGTCATCTGTGAATAGAAACAAAAGAACAAAACATGTAAACCAAATCAACATGTAAGAAAAATAACCGTTTTTTTGGGGGAGTCTGTGTCTATGTTCCTAGAATGAACATTTTCGATGTACCTTTTCGGACAAATGTTACGGCTGTGACACCTCCATCCATGTCCATCAACACCCACAGCGGCGTGTCTGTGGGCAGGTCGCAGATGAGAACTCTCCACACTTCCTCGTTCACAGAGTACCACAGGTTACCCAGCTTGTCGACAAACACGGTCAGAACGTCGCCCGGCACTATGCGCTGCCTTCTTATCCGCATGGCCCAGTAGCCTGGCTTGTTTGTGAGGTGTGGGATGGTGCTGGGAGGGAGGTTGTCACTGTCTAACACGAACGGATCGACGGTTGTCACTCCAAGGACCAGGTCTCCCTTCTTGGATCCCTTTCGGTCGTACCAGTACTCGGTGAGCTCTATGGAAACCTTCTCGTCGACAACAGCAGGCCTGTCGCTGAAGACTATCCCGCTTCCCGGAGAGTCGAGCAGGAGCCGCGCGACGCTCCGGTCTTTGGTCAGAAGGACGGCCTTGCCGTGGACAGAGTTGAAGCACATGGCTACAAAATACAAACAACGGAATGATATACGTTTGATGGGAAGATGACAGAAGAGACATTAGTCGAAATCCTTCCCGCACCAGTTAGTGCATAGGGCGACGTCCATCTCCAGTTCAATAACCCTTGGGCCACAACGTAGTGCAGTCTTTGGTATGACTCGACCGGGATCAAACTCACCACCTAACGAATCCAATACGAGGACTGTTACATGTACACCAGGCCATAAGATATTATGATATTGACTTACCTTCTGTTGCGGCATTTGCCCCTTGTGGGACTTGGTTTGCCTCCTGCTTCACTACTTCTTCCTGTGATCAGAATAAAACAGAGTGGGTAACTCTTCTGTAGCAAGGTGTAAATTAGAGGGAAGAGGAAACTGGAGACAAAATTTGATGCTGTGCGGACATACATTTTCTAGGAGTCAAACTGCACTATTTACCTTTTGAACTGTCCCTGCAACAAACATCCCAGGCTCCTCTCTAACCTCTGATTCAGTTTCCGTCAATGTCCTGAAAGCGACAAAAACAAAATCAATATATAAGGTGTAATATTGTAATCAAAATTATTCATTAAAACCTGCTGCATTTGCATGTGGATGTGTAGCAAATAACATTCCTGCTGAAATACTTCTTTTCAAAATCATGCCCTTGCGGTCTGGCAAGAGAGAAGTACAAGCTAGTCCTTGATAGGTGACAATAAGTAGAAAAAACACAGTTTTCTATTACGTATTACTTTACACTTACCCTTGACACTCCATGACCACCTCCAGAGCATCTTGGAGCAGTTTTATCTCGGTTGGAAAGATGATCATGTTCTCCACCTGAGTTATTGTGTAACGAAATACAGAGACGTCATAATATACTTACAAACAATTATATGACTTGAAATTGTATTAACTACATGTATTTTAAAGTTAAAAGTCAAATGCAACCTTAAGGGCACTTAAGAACCTTACCTGTACACACCCTGCGGCCACGAGAAGCTTGAGGGCACTTGGCGGGAGAAGATGGCGGACATGACGTGACGCTTCGTCCTTAGAGTTTTTCACAACATCCCTGCATAGAATAGACATATAAAGGTCACCAAACTACAATGCTAACTGTATCAAATAAGACAAGTAGAAGAGTGCAGCAAGATGTAAAAAAATACTAGATTATTCAAAATGTGACCCAAGAGACAATCGTTTAATCAACTTTGAAAGTTTCTGCTCAACACGTACCTCAGCATTTTCTCCAGGACAGTAAGAATCAGCCATGCCTGTTGAGGTGTCTCGTCCTGCAGTAATTCTGCAGCCTTTGATCTGAGGACATCCAGCCCAGTCTTTGGCTCTTCTGATGCCTGAGGCTATATTGTTTAGAGAAATATTACAATCATAGTCATATAACATTACAATAAACGCATTATGTACAAGTAAAACACAACATTGTTTTTTTTCGTCAGTAAGTGTGATCCTGGTAAAATGAGGGTCATTCAGTACCAAGGAGAGCAGTGTTGGATTGAAGGCTTAACAGTCTTTCACAGGACACATAGTACCTTTGAAGGTCATACAACACCAGGGAAAGTAGTGTTATTATATCAGCATGAATGTCGGTACCTGCGAAGGCTATTCAGCACCAAGGACAACAGTGTTTCCAACAGACATTACATATTACTCAGTCACAACAGTGTGGAAAACTATTTTCTCGTACGGAATCTTTCTACACAAACTAGCAGTGGTCAAGGAGATGGTTTCTACCTCTTCCATTGGTCTGTCTGCAGAATCTGTTGACATGTCTTCTCCAGGCATGGTAGTCATCACCTCTTCAGATCTCTCAGTAGCTTCTTCTTTACGTGCAGTATCAGTCTCAGGTTCTACCTCAGTTTCTGTTGCCTCCACCTCTTCCGTACTCCCGGTCTCTGCCTCTTGGTGTGACGTGCCAATGTCGGCAGTCGCTTCTTCTTTGGCGGTTTCTGAATGTACCTCTTCAGAAGTTTCAGTATGTGTCTCTTGACCCTTTAGTTTCCTGGTCCATTTAGATGTCCAAAAACAATATTAGTTTATACATGCCACTTTACTTTTAATATAAGTATCTTTTTTATGATCATTGTTTAATATGTCTATTGATTGATGCACATAATTTAAATTATCTGTTTTTTTAACTTGAAGACAGTAGTCAAAAGTGAACAAGTATAATCCCATTGGTATAACTTTTGTGACATGGTTGTCTTCGACGGGTACCTACACAATCGTCATGTACACTGTGTACCAGTTATACATTTTTCATGATCATCATTCACTATCTCCATTGATTAATGCACATACGTTCCATTATCTGTTTATGAAATTAAGGCAGTCATAATAAGTTATCTAGTATAATCTGATTGGCAAAACCTTTGTGAAATAATTGTCTTGGATGTGTATGACTGACCTTAGGGATTCATCCACTGCCTTTAATGTCGGCTCCAGCAGGTCATCAGAAGATGACGGGAGAACAAACGAGTTATCCGACTGGTAGCAAACAAAAAGAGTGATTAGAACACGGAGAATAAATGTAAAATGTTTCCTTGTGTTCTTGTTTTTAAATCACAAACACGTTGGTCAATGTTCAACCAAATGAAAGAGGCTTGCATAACAGTATGAGCCTACTATTGAGGCTATACTGGGGCTATAACCATAACTTTTGCTACAGCAGTAGATAAAAAAGATAGAAGCCACTGTACAGCTGATTATGTCCCTACCTGGACCCATCCGATGGCAGCCAGCAGCTGTACGGCGGTGGGCACATCCAGGATGTCACCAGAAACTGACTTGTTCTTCATCCGAATCTGGCGGTACTTCGGATCCCCTGGGTGGTCTAGGATGTTACTGTGAACGGAAAATCAGGGAATCATAAAATAGCTATAGATAAGGGCTATGATAAATTAATGATTCTATGATATTCAATGCGTTGCAGAAAATGATATGTTTGCCGGCATACCTCGTCATTTGCCGAATAAGAGTGAGCGACATTATGGCTCTCTCTGTGCCGGCTTCCTCTTCCATGGTTTCGATACATGCTTTCACAATCTGCACCCTGTCTTCCAGCGAAGCCTTAAAACAAGAGATAATGGCGATGTTATAGAGTTGGGGCCAAAACCAATCTTCGTAGGCAAATGTAAGAAGATGTGTACACTGTGCAATTAGGATATGAATGACAACCATTACATCTAAATAGAAATGATTATAATAAATATTTTCACAAACCTTTGTCTCAGCCAATTCATGCCTCGGCTGTCCTGCACCTGTCAAATATAAAGGTATGTATGCTAGAAATATATTGCATTTTATTGATGTAAACATCAAGAACATATTTGATTACTTAACCGTAGTCGAGTGTAATATTAAAGTGACACAACGACAGAAAAACACCAGTAAGTGTTATCAGGTCATTCATGGTAGGGCAAGTTGACCGTTGTAAAGGATCCTACCTGAACCTGTGGACGCCTCTTCAGATGTGGAGGCCTGAAAAATTAGTAAGATACAAATGATATCGTAAATATTGTGGTCAACATGTATTTATTTGTAATGCATCCGATGAGACAAAGCAAGTCACTCCCAAAACAAATTCTCTACATTAGTACTTACCGATTGGCCGAACAGATGTTGAAGCTCTGACCTCATAATTGTTTCAAAGAAAGCAGACCTGAAGAAAACCAATCAGCCATTCAATTATTCTGGTCACATAAATTGGGTCTAGACCCTGTGTCATAAATATATCCTAACTAAACATACAGTGGATGTAAAAATATCATAAGGGGTAAATTGTGACTCACCCCAGTTTGCCAAGAAGTTCAGATGATAAATTAAACTCGTCGTCCTCATCTGAGAAGATAGAAAGCTCGATCAATAAATATCATAAAATAAATGTATTTTTTAACATTCTGTCATATTTTTTGTGGAAAAAGAGTTGCGATAGTTTAAGAATATCGATAAAACAACTGAATCATCTGTCTAACCTTCAGAATCAGAAGAATCATCACCATCTTCACTTCTCTGTCTGATGGCATTGATCAGTTGGATGAGCTCCTCTGGTGGCTGTTCTTTTGCAGGATCCTGAATACAAAGGTATCAAAAGTCTTTAGCTACTATGTAAAATAAGGACAATTTTTGAGTCGCTTTTTCATAACAATGGCAGGATTCTGAAAGCGAATTGTAAAGTCTAGGCAGTTCCACTATTGAAGAGAGGAGAAAATAACTTTATGTTTTGTACCTTCACTTGTTCCTTGAACTTTTGAAAGGCAAACGCCAGTTTTTCTTCCTCAGTCATTGCGTCAGCGTCAACATCTGGTTCTGGGGGAGACGCGGGACTTCTTGCAGGTGTGGCCTGGAAAATATGCGCAAAACTTCGAGTTAATCTAGAGCACACACAAGGAGGGACACTCTGCTAAAGGCACAACTATTACCTGCTACCTATTAGGAACCTTGTAAGAATAGAAGCTCAAGTTGCTCCACTAAGTATGTCATTGTCATTGGTCACAGGGTGATATGCCTTTCGTTAGCTTGATACAAGACTGGGTTCGCCAGGTCTCTGTCCAGGACCTCTTGTTCTGAGCTCAACACTCTGCCCCCACGACCCACAAGAATGTCACAACCATGCCAGAAAATTACAATGCCGAATGGGTCACTAACCTCCTCTTCTGTGTTGTGTTCAGTAGTCTGGGGTGTCCCATCTCTCATCTTGTCTGTCTCAGCAGCAGGAGAAGTGGTGATGTCAGGCTCAATACTCCACCCCTCCCACGGCATCCTGAATCCCTTCTCCTCAGGGCGGTCATCTATCAGGGATACAGCAGAATACATGCACTTACTACATTTGTATTATGCTTTTATCACAATGAAAATTTTACTGTAAGAAAATTGTGTTAGCTGTATCCTTTCACTATTAGAAAAGAGATTACCATACATGCTCCATTAAATATCACTTAGAATACATTCACAGTGCACCTTTAAATGTCAGAGTCGTTGCTCCACCGTCCATGTCCAGGATTGCCCACAGTGGTTTGTCTGTCGGGATGTCACAGAGGTGGACCTCATCCTGCACATCCTTCAGGCTGTAGGTCAGGTTTCCGTCTTTATCCAGGTAGAACGTCAGCGTGTCCCCTGAGCCGACGTATTTCCCCTTGATCCGCCTCGCCCAGTAGTTCTTCTGGGCCGTGAGGTCAATGACACAGGCTGGTAAGTCTATTTGAGAAAGTGTCGAAGGATCTTCCGTGGTTAGACCCAGGATCACGACGCCCCTTCCATCCTCGCTGTACCTGGATCTGTACTCTGTGATCTCGACGGTGATCTTTTCACCGATGTCGATCGGTCTGTTGCTGAAGGTGATGGCGCTGGTGTCGTCGTCAGTGGCGTACAGACGTCTCATGGTCTTACCGTCATCCCTCAGTTGAAGCGCTGAGCCGTGGACACTGCAGAAGGCAAGTCGCTGCCTTTTGGCGCCAACTATAAAGAAGGACGGAAACACAGTTGGTGTGTGAATGTAATACAATGCAACTGAAGTAATGGTGAAGATGTGACAGATCAATTTCCAACATTTTGTGTTGAATTTTTGTGGTAAGTCCAGGTTGCTAGTTGCCACTGTCTGCCTGCCTTCCCACCCACCACCGGGTGATGTCCTTGGTGCTGAAATGAGGTTCTAATGGAAGGCGGGCGTGTGGGGAGACGTGGAGATGACGTCGTGTGGTGCTGGGAAAACGTTGGAGCTCTCTCCCTCACAAAGTGGGTCATGTTGAACATTGACACAGAAAAGTTGGCTTACTTTGATGTCTTTTAGGCGTTTTTATCGGGCTCTATTTTTTGTACCGGTATCTTTTTTTTCGCCAGCCAAACGGCTTTTAAGTCTTTTAAGTATGCAATCACGGGAAAGATTTCGAAACTAATGCAGTGTATCTAATGTTTTGGTACACATACACAGGTAAACAAAATATCCCTAAGAAAAGGTAAAAATAATAACAGATCAATCAGTGATCAACAGATGAAGATCATACCAGTCTTAACCGGTGCTCTAGCGTTACTTCCAGGTGCCGCAACCGGCGTCTCCTTCTCTGCATGTTTCTTCATCTCGGATGCGATTTTGCCTTCAGTGATTTTCTCTTCTGCTTTCTCCTTCTCTTCTGGGGGTGATTTCGTTTCCTTGGGTTCTTTTTCCTCCTTGGCTGTTTCCCCATCTTCAGGTGCCAGGTGGAAGTCAGGCAGTTTGCTGAAATAGATCCAATATCAGTGTCAGACAATACGTTTTAAGAACAATTTAATACCACATATTGTGAGATTAATGAACTTAAGTTCATGCGTTAAGACTGCAGTCAACTTGTAGAGACAAGTATTACATACCTCAAGGATTCCTCAACTGTAGTCAGGATGCGATCAAGGCGCTTGTCACAGTACTTGGGGAATATCATCGTATCTCCGACCTGGGCAAGATGATAACAAAACGTTAGGAAGATATTTCTAACCCCATAACATTTTCAACATCGTAATCATCGTAATCTGTTAACCTTTGTTCATTATAATTTGTTGTGGCCTGTAATTAGCACAATGTGGCGAAAATGTACAATTCGTCGTTACAATTACAATATATGGATATTTCCCGACCTGAATCCACCCTGCTGTGACCATGAAGTTCTTGGCTGCCTCTGACCGCCTGATCGCGTCCGCGTACGCCCGCTCCCGCATGTCAATCTTCCGGTACTTGTTGTCTCCTGGGTTGTCACGGACCCTCCTGATGGGACGACATCAAACAAAAGTTTTTAGATTTAGATTCAAAGCTTTCTACGGTTACGCTATAGTTTTATGTCTATGTTACTTTCATTTCTTCACATTTTCTTCTTTTCCTTTGTGATTTGGCATTCTACGACATTAGTATCTTTTCCAATGTTTTATTTTTGCAATATTATTCGCTGATTTTGCAGCTGCTTTGTACGATTTACAATATGTTTTCAAAACGTTTTTTTTAAACGGACGGAAATTCAAACACGCGTCATCCATATAATCAAGTCAACATAACTTAAGTAGGCTGAATCTACCTTGCCACATCCCTGATAGCAGACAGTGCGATCCTCGCCTGGCCTGTTGTCTCCTTCCCTTCGATCTCCTCAATACAAGTCTTTATTGTTAACTTCACGGTGCCATGAGGACCCTGTGGAAGAGGTTAGATACCCGCAGTTACGACGGTTCTCATCCGTTGGTACAGCGAATGTCAACCAACAATCAGTTTATCATTCAGATTGTAGACAACTTCAAATGACCGGATTCTCAATTATTAGTGGTCGGCTCATTTCTCCCAAGGTTCGATGCAAACCTTATCATGCTATGATTTTAGGCACAATAAATAAAATCGATAAATTGTCTCTACAGTAAACTGTTAATGGAGTTGCGACCCCGCTTCTGAAATATTTTGTTAATATATTGAAAAGATTGAAACAGATTTTTCTTACCTCAGATGTATCGGTCTTCTCCTCAGGGACTGGAGTTTCGTCCTTGTCCAAATTGCTGTAAGACGAGAAAAATTAACAATCTTTTAATTCTGCCAATGATTCAGTTAAGATCTTGATTGAAGCGATGTGAAAGTGATATTAATGTTGTTTTGTTTTCTTACCAAAGCCCTTCTTCCAAGGCAACCAGAATTGGTCCATGACCGCCAAACTGTGGGAAGACCAGCATATCTCCCAGCTGTGGAGAAGACATTGCAAAGTTAATATACGTCAGATTGTCCCTCTGATAGTCACAGAGTTACTCTTCGTTGAAAATGTCTGATGAGCTCTTTGTATTTTCATTTTATGAAAACAAAAAGAAGAGTAGAATGCTATGTCACCTGTTCTTAGAACTCAGACAGTGCGAAGTTCTACGAAATCTATTTACCGTCTTCCACCCTGCCTTCTGGAAGAGTTGGTATGTAGTTGAGCTGGCCTTTATCGCCTCGGCAAAGGGGATGTCATTGGTAGTCAACTTCCGCGTGTTGTCATCGCTGGCTTTCTGATTGGAGACTTGGCTGAGAAAACATGTATGGTACCTTGAGATAATATATATTATTCTCACGAAACACAACAAAATGTATCCGCAAATGGGAAAGTGATAATATTATAATAATATTGTATTCCGGAAACACCACACACAAATGAAAGAGAATATAAATTATTACGTTGTATTTTCATTGCAAAATATGTAGTTTGCAGTATTACAAATTTGTAGTATACAAGAAGTAAACCCCAACGTTCAGTTTTTCTTATTAATAAATAAGATACAACAAAGATGGCATTACACAACACAATAATCATAAACCATATCGATTATTTTTGGTCTTACTCTGTTATGGTCCAAATCGTGGTTAAAGTCAGTTTCGCCTGTTCAACAGTTTCCTTCTCCAGAAGTTCATTCACGAAGGGTGTCAGCCAGTTCTCTCTCGGTAGGTCCTGACGATGGAAACGAACAGTCGATTATAAAAAGGTGCTAAGTCCTCTGTATATCGTATGGTTTAGAACTTCAAACCATTCATGATGCAGACAGAATATGCTAACAAAAATTTCGACCATGTAGACCGTATGTGTTCAGATAATATTGCAGCAGTATTCAATCCAAGGCCCATGTCCGTACTTACCTCAGTAGACACGCCACCTTCTGCCCCTGCAGTTTCCCCGGTAGCATGAGCTGACGCCTCCGCGTCTTTTATTTCTTCCTCTGTAAATGTTTACAAGAGATTGTGCTGTCAATGTAAAAGGCCAGCAACAAAGGAGAACAACATTGCATCAAGCATAATGAAGACGATACGTTTCCTTTGCTATGAAATATAGCGAGAACATTAAACTCACCAGCGGGCCCACTGGTCCTGGTTGGGGAGGTATCATCACCAGCTTCGTTGGCCTAGGATGTAAAGAAAAGAAAACAGCATATTGTCACCCAAATACTGATTCTTAATGAAGTTACAAGTAGTCTTGATTCAACAAGACTGTTGCGATCCAACAGAAAGAAAAAAGGGCAATAAAGGTATCATACCTTCTTACTTTCCCCTTCTTTGTCAGTTGTAGAGCTGTAAAAACAAACAAAAACGTCACTTCAGCTGACTACACTGCAAAATGGTAAATTGAACATGAATATTTTACAGAGAAGATGATCATGTACGTGAAGATTATATAACACAAGTTGTCTTACGGGATGTTTTCCGAGATGTTAGATAACAGAGATGCCACATAGCTGCGATCAGTCTCTGTCACTAATGGTGCCTCTTCATCCGAATATTGCTTCTCCTCTGCAGAGACAAATGCAGTTGTTTACTGTATTTACTAACTAACTAACTAACGACAATAATGACAGATAGATAGATATTAAAAGGAATATGATATTTATTTAACAATCATGCCACAAGTTGCTGTCTATCGCGTGCACCAGGATGCGAGCAGACACAACTTGCCTATATCGACAAAGCTGACTGCAGTGGTCGACCCAAACAGGTCCAACACCGCCCACATGGGTTTGCCAGTCGGGATGTTGCAAACGACGTCAAACTCTTCCACGGGCTGGTCCGCTCCAGTAGCGTACACTGAACACTTCATGGACCCGCTACCGCTGACGTAGAGAGTTAGAATGTTGCCTGGGAGGGCAGCATCGTCTCCTACTGGTTCGCTCCAAAATCCGTCGTCGCTTGAGAGGTTACTCAGAAACTTTGGCAGTTGTTCAGTGTCCCATTTGATGGGGTCTACAGTTGTCACTCCCAGCACTACAGCACACTCTACTGTAGGGTCCCTATCTGTGATCTGTACGGCTATCATCTGACTGGTGTCGAAGGGTTTGTCACTGAAAGTGATGGCATTGCTTATACCGCCCTTACGACGTGCGGATTTCCTGTCCGGCGCCAATGCTATGTTAGACCCGCGAATGACATGGAACCTCACGTCCCGTGTTGCCTTGACGCCAGTTGGCAAGCCTGTGGGGAAAGGTTATATAAAGTATTTGTATTGCTTCCGTGCACCTTGCTGAAGATGCTACTACTTAGGCCATCCGCGCGCGCATTGATTTTCGCCTGATGATAACTCAATTACATTTTAAAAATACTGATTTTTTATTAATTATCACGACGACTTCTTTGCAATTATCCCACCTTTGACCAGTTTGGGAGATCCCACCGGGGCTGCCTCTGCTGTGCTCTGAGGGACGAAAGGATGCGCCGTCTCGTCCTTGTCATCAGGTGTCTCCCAAGGTAAGGAACTGGGCAGGAATGAAAATGATATACAACTGATGACATGAGCCCCAGTTGTGGAGGTTGTAACAACTAAAACAAACACCAAGACATGAACTCCACGTGTAATGTTGTGATGTGAATGCGAGGTAAACATGAATGTATTTGTTGATGAATAGTTACGAAATTGTTAACTACTAATAAATTATTATAATTATATACTACAATGCTTAACGTACCTCAGCAAGTCGTCAATAATCTGTAGTGTTGGGCTGAGTAGCTCGTCGTTGGATTTGTCAAAGACCATGACATCTTCAACCTTTGAAAGAAGAATTACAAATCGGGATTCACATATGCGATTCAAGTCAAGTTGTAATATTGTTATCGAATTCATTGTCGAAAGCTCTAGCTAAGAACATTCCCCTTTTGTGTTGAACAAAATATTTACTTTTCTACCAACACAGATGTTTTCATGATACATGTAGTATGTAGAACATATCTACCTGTTTCCATCCTGCTGCGACCACGAACTGTTGTGCATTTGTGGATTTCATGACCGTCTCCTGAAACGTTTTGTTACCCACTCGGACTTTCCTGTACTTCTGGTCGTCAGGCTGCTTCAAAATGTTGCTATGAGAAGATGAAAAGATTGGCATGAACTCTATATAGTTTTACTATCATTTTCTGGTCTATGTCTAACATATCTATAACGATACGACACCAACAAAACATTCATTGATACAATCCTGACATCATCACGCTTTCGACTTCCGGAGAGTCAGCGAGTGGATCACACATCTTATAGAGGTTGATGAGATTGATCGAAAATTCATGGTCTTTCTTTTCATGTTGATTGCTATTGGGCTTAAACTCTGTACCTACAGCACGATGTCAATATTATGCCTCTTACTTGGTCATTCGGCGGACAGTGTTCAAAGCCTCTCTGGCCAGTTTCGTCCGTTCCTGTTCCTTGATGATGGCGGCACATGTTGCAATGATCTGAATCTTGTCCTGAAGAGCGTTCTGTGTGATATGAAACAGTTATTATTAGGTTCAGACGTGTCGCTGCAATCGTGATTTCATCGAAGTATGTACTTAGCTATAAAATGAATGAAGATTTGTGTAACGCAGTTTTTAGAATGAAGTACGTGTACCTTTTCCTCTGCCGGTTGCATTTCTTCGGTCGTGTAATTTTCTGTGAAGCTCTCTTCCGGTAGGGCACTGGAATAAATCAGACAAAGAAACGGTGAGAAGATACGTGCTGTTTAGGAGTAGCGCTAGCACTGATAAACTTTCAAAGTGCAAAATACGACATACTTTCACATCCTATCTGTCTTATCAAAGGACCAAACAGTGGCACATGTCTCAAACTTCTTACTTCAAACTCTCATCGAGTGCCTCCACCGTCGGCTGCAGAAGAACATCGCAGGTTCTAGTAAACACCATCATGTCGTCAACCTGTGTTAAAAATAGGAATCAGTTCGATAAAGTTTGTATTACATTGTTATAGAAAATTTAATATCAGCATACATCAGGGTCCTTCACTCAACCGCGACGGGGGCCGACATCGTTTACTAGATTCCCTTGACCCAGTGTTGACGTCACACTTCAAACAAGCCACGTGGCAAGTCCCACAGGGTCAGTCTATTATTAAAGAAGACCAGAGTGACTGGTCCAAAGCTCTGGGTGAGAACATTCTCTTGTGTTGTAACGAAAGTTTGAACTTTAAATATATATATCATCATAATGGTATATATGACGGCCAAAACTCATTACCTGGCACCATCCAGCAGCCACCATGAACTGTTGGGCCGAGTGTGCACGTAGGATGGTCTCCTTGAATTCGCTGTTCCCGATGTAAACCTTCCTGTTCTCTTCTTCATCTCCAGTCTCGATGACATTCCTAACAAAAATCGTGTGAGGAATGTTGAAGACGTGAACAAAAAAAGTATTTACAATATTTTGTCCCGGAAAATTAAAGGGGTATTTTGTACTTTTTTGTATCGTCCTAATGTAACCTTGCTTACATGGTGAGTTTACGTAGGTATGTCAGCGCCCTCCTGGCCCGCTCCGGTGTTTCCTCCTCCCGTATGACAGCCGCACAGGACTTTAGAATCTGGATTTTGTCCATCAGTAGATTCTGTATGGAATTCAAAAAGATAGTGATATGACACTCGAACATGTACAGTAGGGCTTAGGTTTTACAGGCCATTTGATGAAGAAAGAAAAATGAATAAATGATTAAACAAACGTTTGTTCACCTTTAGTTTAAAAACAACAACTGAAATGTACCTGTAGAAATCCCATGACAACGTTGATGTCAGGAGGGATGTCGGGTCCTTCTCCTTTCTTCCAGATCACCGTGGCCTTTTTCTTGTCCTCTGTGAAGTGTAAATATAAAAGGGTTCACAGTTTCGCTCTGTGTTTCACATAACATTCAAACTAGTGTCGTATAAGGTATTGTTTAAGTTCTGCTTGAACAGCATAATTGGAAAGGAAAGCAAAGTGATCTCGATCCAGTGTAAGCTCACTGAGGAGCTAATCTCCCACTGGTCGTGGCAGAGAAGACAGACGCTACGTACAGATTCATTGTACCGGGGAAATTTCAGCGTACATGTCGGGTGAGCGACAACAGCCGGGATTCGAACTCCTAACCTCCTGGTCCAGAGGCAGGGTCGATAGCCATTGGCCTACTGGACATTCACAGCTTACCTCCATCAACAAACTTGACCGTTTGTGTTCTCCCCTGTAAGTCCAGGACAGCCCAGATCGGTTGATCGGCGGGGATACTCGCCAGCTGCAGCTTGGACCTGCCGCCGTTCACGTTACTCGAGTACTCCAGGTTCCCATTGCAGTTGACGGAGAACTTGAAGAGCGCCCCCGTCGTCATGAGGTCATGGTCGATCGGCCAGACCCAGAAGCCGGCGATGTTTCGCTCATCGACGGCGAGGGATGCAGGGAGCTCCGCGGGGCTCCACGTTGCGGGATCCACCGTTGTGACGCCGAAGTACAGAGCCCCGCTCCCCTTGTCTGTGTACCCAGAGAACTCGATCTGGACTTCTTGGTCAACCATGACCGGGGACGCGCTGAAGACCAGGGCGCTGGTTGAGGTTTGCTCGTCTGGTACACTCAGACGGTGTGCACTTCTCTTGTTGGGGGATAGCATGATTGTTGCTCCACACACGCCGTGGAACGTCATACCTGGACAAATAGAAACATTTCCTTTTGTAATATCTGAATCAACTATTCAGCTCCATCAGTTATACACTTCAAAAGTTCTCTTTTTGTACACTTGCTGGCTGACGTATGTTTAAGTGAAGAGCATATAAAACACACGAGGCATTCCAAAGATTCCCCCACCTTCTGGCTTGTCTTGGAGGTCTCTTGGAGGGGGTGCCTCGATCGACAGTTGCCTTGACAGCTGACGCCTGGGACGCTGAGGACCTGTCAAGAGTAAAACAGACGGATAAATCACTGGCGTCCGTTTCAACGAAGGTAAATTGTGAACTGGAAAGGTACCATTTGCAACGCAAATGCATGTTTACCTTCACACATGGTCTGTTATATTAATTCTTACTCAAACACATTCATATATATATGGTGACAGGAGTTTAAATCCCTCCTGCTATACAATCGCAACATGATGTGACCCAGCACTAGTTACCACGGTGACAGAAGTCTGGTTCAGGTCATTGACCTTATAGGTTTGGAGAATTAGAAGAAGAAAAAGAAGAAGAGGAAACAGAGCAAAAAATATGTTTATGAGGGACAGTACTTACCATCAAGGCTTACGTAATGTTGCTCTGCGTAGTGCCCGAGTAGTAAGGGAGGACCAGTCACAGGTTCGTCTGTCCCGCCATTCGGGTGGACCTTAGTGAGGAAGTCGTCCCCAGGCGTGCTGGACACCACGTGTATCTCCCGGCGCAGGACGGAGGCCAGGGCTATGAGGGCGATGTGATCCCCCCACTCCCCGTCTCGGGACATCGCCGCCAGGTACGAGTCCCACTTCTCATCGGGTACAAAGGACCGCAGGTGCTGGTTACCCTCCTGGAAGGAAACAATGTGTTCATTAAATAATGAGAACTTTTAAGAATAAGAAATTTACAGGAATTTGTGTGAATCGCTCAGTCTTTATATACTAGTAGCTTTCTGACATGAGTGCTGTAGACACGTGGTTTTTACCCACAAGTGACGTCAGCACTGGGTTTAAGTTCGTCTGAAGTCGGTACCACCCCCCGTCCCGGTTGAGAGACGGCAGTGATTAATAGACTCTTCATTTCCATTTCTTTACATTCTCTTCCTTTGAAATTAATTTTGGCATTCTACGACATTAGTATCTTTTCCAGTGTTGTTTGCTCACTGTTTTTCTGCTGCATTGTACGATTTACGATATGGTCGAAAACTTTCTTTGGGGGGGGGGCTAAAATTCATGCGCCCACTGATGTCATCCATATAATCAAATCAAAATGGCCTTACTGTGAAAGGATGTTTCCTCAGGTAGTCCACCGCCTTGCTCCTGAGTTCCTGGTGGGACATCTCCGGACCCTCTGTCCGCCGCAGCTGGTCGGCCACCGCGTGGAACATGCAGTTCCCGTCCATCGGCACGTGGCTGCGGAACGAGAAGCCCAGCGTGTTGACGTGGGACACCAGCCGGGTGTACGCCTCCATCTGGACAAAGATGTCCGGGTACATCTGCTTCAGTAGCTGCACCATGCCTGGGTCCATACCTGGGGAAAAGCAACATAAAGTTGGGGTCGTGTGTCGTAGCGGCAGAGTGCTCGACTCGGAACAAAGAGGTCCCGGGTTCGAGTCCTGACATGCCACCGATCTTGTGCCCTTGGGGCCATTTGATTAGAGTATATAGTATTTAGTATGTTGGGGTACCTGCTGCTTGAAAGTAGCTGGCAGTCCGTGCTTCTGTAGACATCGAGTCTGTAGATGTGGTGGTTGATTGCGCGGAGGCAGAGGGTTTCTCTGCGGTATCTGTAGCCGTTTGTGGATCTGTGGTTGTATCCTCAGTGGTAGCCGCTGGTGCTTTGTCCTCGGCCGTCTTTTCCACAACCTCAGAAAACTCGACTTTATCCTGTGGAATAAGGGATACAACTACACATGAGCGCCGAGAGCACAGCTCGGAGCCGTTGAGAACTGGAGGTATTTCAGAATCTAGAGCGTCGCCAGCCTAGTTCATAAAATATTATGCCTTCAAGTTTACCTCAACAGTCACTGCCTCCGGTTCATCTGCGGCGGTGTCTGACGGGTCTGGAGTGCTGGTATCTCCGGGAGTGGTGCTATCTTTCTCCGGTGCTTCTGGAGACGGAGATTCAGTCTCTGTCTGGTCATTTCCATCTGAAAGAAACATGAAGAAATTACGCTCATATTAATAGATTGGTGTCTATTTTTTAGGATCGGAAAATCTCACTATTCCCAATCGGTCAGCTGCGATGATGTACAGTGATGGTGAGTCGGCGAGTGATGTCCTTGGTGCTGAAATGATGTCCCTAACCCTCCCCATATAGTGTTCATTTCTATTACGGACTGAAATAGGGTTCCTAACCCCATATCATGTCTATTTCTACTGCGTGCGCGGGGTCGCCCACAAACATACAGAAATCACGACTTTACCTGGAGTTGTTCTAACAGCAGATGTTGTTTCGGGACTGTCCGTATCTGTCCGGCCGGGCGGCGGTTCTGACGACTCAAGCTTAGTTGGACCAGGCGGACTCGACTCTTCCGCCGTGGCCACAGAGACGCTGGCTGAATCGTCAGATATCTTCTCTTCGTCTGGAGGGACTAAAGACACATGCTCATACATACATGAGGTAGTAGTGCCTTTACGGAGGAGGAGAAAGACTAAGAAGAAGTCCGTTTATCTTGTCTATAATCTGTTTTCACCATTGTCCGTCAGTCACTGGTTCGGTCATAGATTCATGCCTAAGCCCATGGAAAGGGAGTGCTTACTACACAAAAATGATAATAATAATGATAATAATACACTATTTTATACAGTAGCCTTTGCCGTATCGTGATACTTCTTTTTAGGTAGCTGTACAGCATGTGCTTATAAAAAAAACGCCATTCATACTATTCCGAGAAAGTTGTTCAGAACAATCAGAATCTTTGAAGAATCAGAAACCACCTTTAGTTAGTTCTTACCGGGACTATTAGCAGCATCTTCGCCTAAATCTGTGCCGGAGTCGGAATCTTGGGAAACGGTCTGGTCGCCTTTTACGGTCCCCTCCGGTCCTGACGGAGTGTTCCCCATTCTTAGGCCGGGCTGCCACTCAGCGGGCGGGGGCGGGTCTACTAACACCCCGCCTTCACCTGGTGAAAGGACGGACTGTTTAACGGAGAGCACGTACGCTACTGAAATAGCATTTAAGTCAGACCATGTCAGAAATTATCATATCTGAACATAATTTCACCAGGCTGACAGAACATAGGATATCGGGGTTTTATTTTTACAAAACCAGTACTGTCTCTCAACTGCATATCATCTGTCTAAAAGTATTTAGCCAATATGTACTCTTTCCAGCCGCTTCCCGAAGCCTGATAGAGGCTAATTGAAACGTTAGCACGTAAAAGACAGCACTGCTTGTGTAAAAAAAAAGAAAACCACAATATTCTAGGTACTATTACAGTTTCTTTTCATCATGAAGAGTGGCAGCAATAACGAGAAAAGAGAATGGTTATCAATACCAAGTTGCCGAAATAAAGTTGTTATTAGTTAATAGCTTTTACATTTATCTTTGCCATGCAGAATATTGCACATTTTTGAACATATTCGTCATCATTTTGCAGCGGTTTATGAGAAAGTATAATTGAACCATGCCTGTGACGTCACGACGGTTCTCCATGTCTTACTGCGGCTGCGCAGCAAGAGGGTCACAGGTGACGTCAAACTCTGCAATTATAAATTTGTAAAAAAAAATTGATAACTACTTTTGAAAAGACAGAACGCTGGAGAAACATGTGATGGGAGACATTATGTTTAAATGTTTATCTGTGTCAAACATTTCTTAGTCAACGTCAGTCCCATGTGTACGTTGTATGCAATGGTGCGTTTTCAACTGCCTCAAATTGTACGCCACCATTGTAGACACCAATTGTAGTAGTACAAACACAGTATGGACTGTAATGTGAATTGCTTTGGTAATTTTCATGACCAGCATCGTCCCACCCCACCCTAATAAATCCTAATAAACCTAACCCCTAGTAAATGTTGACACAGTAAAATGATACTGTTACAAACACAAAACACAAAACATATAGATCAATATGCCCAGTCATGATTACAACAGTCTAAACCCTGACGGCCCCCGTTTGGAAGTTCCCGTTTCTGTATTTGTGTTGCGGGTTCAGAGGCCACGAGACAGCTCACATGACACACGGGGGTTCCCATTCATGGTACGTAAACACCTGTTAACACCCTAACTTCCTCTTTCTGCGATTAAAACAAGTACAGAAAGATCCATACATGTATGGGGGGGTGTTATGATAATACATGTATAACAATATGTGTCAGTAGACATATGAAATAGACATCCTAATTACAAACATTGCCATTTAAAAGTTACATTTTATATTACCTGCCTTTGTTGTTGTTTTTGACTATTACGTAACTCGTTGATCTGTTTTTAAGCTCTTGTCTGGTGGAGGAGGAGGGTACTAGTGGCTACATAGTAGAATAAAACGCCCATTTTATCATTATCATTTCAGTCATTAGGACGCTTCTCTGTTCTTTACTGTAATTCACTTGAAGTTCACGGTAGCATATTTTCTCGGTCTGAGAAAATGGAGGTGTTCGCGGAACTATGATGTTCACGGGGGTAGCAGGTGCAGGAATTCGAAAAAGAACGGCGATTGATTTGTTAGCGGTAATGATAAGTTCACCGTACAGAAGTGACCGTGAAAACTGTGAACATAAAAGTACCTTTAAAAAAACAGGGTTTACAGTATCCGTAAAAAGCTGGTGCATGTATAACTGGCGAGGTGTAGTTACACGGTCACGGTCGAGTCGACCTTTACACACGTACGTGACGTGGTATCGCTTCTACGCGTGGAAATTCCCCGCGACTGCATATACTTGATCTTTGGCCGTTGCGCATGTAAAATGAATTACAAGTGAATGAAGCGTTCTGTATTATATCTGGGGCTCAAAAACTGGTCTTTCAAGTCACGAAAGCATCTCAGTACATTTCATCTAGCTAACAGGAAGAATTTTCGGCCCTTCTTATACTACGGGACGATCTATAGGTGGCGCAATTCTAAACAGATGAATACATTATTACTAAATGTGCAATAAAGGTATTCATTCATTCAAATATCCACTCAGCTATGGGTCAAATGAGAGCAATGAAAGCACAAAGTAGGAACAGAAAACACATGATCCCCGACACAGACGGACGGACTACCCGTTGAGAACTTTCACTTTCGTATCTGCTACTGAACGACATGGTAATTTATACCTTGTTACTTGTAATGACTGGACTACACTGTACATATATTTTCAATGCGTGGTAAGTATAATGTCATTGAGGTAAAGCGTTACCGTCAAATTCAAGACAAGTTCTATTACGTGAACAGCGATGTTTTGGCTTAGTATGCTAATACGTTCTGCATCTTTACTAAGAGTCGTCGACCCTCTTACGTGACCACCGTGGAATGTGTGAAATGGTCGCATAAACTGTTTAAAACGGAACATGCACAACATCCCAATCGGAACATAGCTCCTTCACAGCTACACTGTGCTGCACGCAAGTCTACGTTTAAGAAGCGTCGACGTAAAATTCTACCGTACGGAGCGTTTTTAAGGGTGGATGGCAAACCCGGAAGTAACGCAAAAGTGAAAGCAGTAACACAAGGTAGCGTCTTACCTGAGGAAACTTGAAGTCGACAGTTCTTGACAGCGGTGTCTTCACAGGTAGTGCAGCAGTTACATGGACAACTCTCCGCACCAGTGTTTAGCTCAGTTCTGGCTAGATTTTGCATTACGCAGGGTGAAAAACCCAGCGAAACAATGAGTCAGACACACTGGGAAGTCCCGCGTACATGTAATACACTAGCCCCGTTGAGAACAATTTACCCATAATCCTCAGGGGGTAGAAACAGGTGGAAATCCCGGATGACGTAATGCTTCTTCGCGACCTTTGTACACTTGAACTTTACGGACAGAAGGTCTTATACAGTTTTTGTTATAACTCTGCTTCCAGAGGTTTGAAAGTGTTTGTGCTCAGGCGTATGTTAGTCACACAAGTTACACAACGTAAAAGGGAATAGGCACTTAACGTAGTTTCGGTAGTAGTATAGCAGGAACATTTAAGTTCACATGCTGAAGGGGGACATTTATAAAATTAAACGGTGAGTTTAGTTCGGTAGAGGAAGAGTGATGATAAGATATTTGATTTGTATGGTGAGATATGATGGATATGATAACTTCTTTCATTTGTGATTCAGTTTCATAAAATGTACTTGTGTCAAACTTCTCACTATAATCATGTACATGCATGCATACTGAATAAAATGCAACACTCCAGCCAAAGAATGTTTTGTAAGAAGAGAAATGGGTGGGTTTATTCTCAAATACACCATTGGCCTACATTACCCTTTAGTATGACAAATAGAAGCATGATTTCATTCCAAATATAATGCAATTTTATTACATCAGAATGTATAAAAAGATATGATAGCAGTCCAACTTTATTGAATGGTCTACAATATTTGGTCAAACTCCTTTTAGTATGTGTACTACATGTACAATGTATATGTGGGCATTTTGACAAATAATAATTGCAATAAGACATACACTTTACACTCATACATATTGTAATGTTCATATCTAGGTACAGGTAGAAACCAAAATGACTTGATAATCCTTGGTAATCTTGTAATAAGTATTGCAAAAATAACATACCGGTATAACATGTTTTGTGATACACATTTTTGTATTTTTGCTCTATGAATGGTGTCTTCCATTACTCCTAGTTCATAAAATGACAAGGTTTTCAGCCTGATTTGACCACTTTTCATTGCTGAGAAAACATCTGTCCTGTGAAGACAGTCCCGTTGCCAAAACCGTTCCGAGGGATTCTGTTGACGTCATCGGAGGGCACGAACATCAGCGGAATGAAAGACAGCTTCCCATTGGACCAGCACTGAAATACAGAAATATGATCACTGCTACCAGTAAGATTGCAAATGATGAACAGAACAATACATAGATCTTTGGTATGATACCTACATGTTTCACTTAACAGAAGCAGCTACAAGTTTACACTGAAAGAAATTTCTACAAATGTAACATCTGTGTCCATAATATCACCAGGGTCCGTAATATCGCCACCTTGAGAAATAGTGTGCTTAAAGATATTTTTACAGCAACATACTTTTGGTATGCACTCCTGCACACCTCAAATGTACATACCTAGGGTATGTTGCAGTAAAAATATCTTTAAGCACACTTTTTCTCAAGGTGGCGATATTATGGACTATGGTGATATTATGGACACAGCTGTTACACAAAAGAAAGAATTGTGTTGTGTTGATAAAACTGCTGCAGCTACAAGTTATCTTCTGATACCTACTTCACAAAATATATTTGTTCTGATTAGTATTCAACTTAGCAACAGTAAGTGTTGCTTGTTGTTGACTTACCACAGCCAGCAGTGCTCCTGACTCAAAGTTCTCCTGAAAACTGATCAGCTCTGGTGACACGCCAGGCTCTCCTCGGATAAAACCACTGCCAAGAAAAGGGGGTTACAGCATGGTCATTCTACATGTAGTCTCACATTAGTCAGCTTGCAGTGTGAAATCACTATCATTGTTACAGCATGTACATGTACATGTACATTGGAAGGACTTCCATGTACTTCCAGAAACTACCGTGGGACTCACCATGGCATGATCTCCAGTACAGGGTGCAGTCTGGTGCGAAACAGAGCTATCAGCTGGGAGGTGGTGCCCTTCTCTGGGTCAGCTGGACATGGAGGTATCAAACAACACATGCATTGACACTCACAATAATAACTGATCCAACCAAATATTTCAAAAGAAATTTAGTGATAAAGTTCCAACTATGGAAGTGAGAAAAGAAAGTGATCTTGATCCAGTTTTAGCTCACTGAAGAGTCTTACTGGTCATGTCAGAGTAGATGTATGTAATGTTCAGAATTTACTGATGAAAGATCAAATGAAGAGTATCATAACTAAATGCTTGCTAACCTGTAAACAAGACAGCCAGCCTTTCTCCTGTAGGGTCCCACACCATGGAGTGTACACTCCCTCCCACACTGCAAGGACAGCAAGGAACACATCAATACAGACTCAAGAAAAGCTGTCTGAAAACTTGAAAGACATGTACAGTGGGCAAACGTGGGGGAAAAAATGTACAATAAAGGTCTTCATTATTTACTAATAATTATGTACTCTAAGTGCTTTGAGAGTAATGCCATTTATGATGAGAATTTTTTTCAAACCTTGCTATTGTTCTACTAAAACCAATTTAAGAATGCATGTTAGGTTTGCCCCACAATCAATGTACAGTTAACTTACAGTTACTGTGATGAAAACCAGTAATCAAAGGCAGTGCTTTGGTTTCTTAATATGTGTGGCAGACTACATATATTGGATGTGTTATGTACAATCAGCTGTGACTATCTTATGTAAAAGAAAGTGCAGTAACTCACTTTAAGACTTCTTCCTCCACCTCCAGAGTAACCTGGGAGAGGTCCACACAGACTACTGCTGACTTGGAGCCTGCCTTTACTGATGTCACCACATCTGTACAGATTATAGGGAACAAAGAACACAATTAATGAATTACAAGGGGAAAACCTAAACATAAACAATGTAAAAAAAATGCAGGTTATTATAACCTACAGGTTATTCAAATGCTTTGAGTCTTGTTACAAATCATACATTCTGATACAAACTACAATAAACAATGTAGTTGCAATGTAAAAGTTGTATGTTACAACAAACTAGGTAAATTGCTAGAGAAGAAAGGATGACACCACACCTGCATCTCTAGGGAATGTGATGGAGTAGATGACAGGCTCGTCTGCCACTGTGAAGAGTAAAACAGCGCCATCTGGACTCCAGCAGGAGGACTGCAGCAAAATGATTGGTACATGTATTTCAGGGAAAACATTGTTTATACAAGCAAGTTTGATTGATTGAATCCCCTTATTCATAGCATGACACTTAACTCTTTTGTATCGATTTTGGAATCTCAAATAATTTTTGTTATACACAACATAATTGCTCCTGACCTGGCATCTTCCGGCCAGGTTAGTCCATCTCTCACAAGTCCAGGTTTCTGTCTCCCAAACCCTGTGTGAAGAATTTATTGATCATCACAATGCTTATTTAAGTCTACAACTGGAACTGTCATTCCATACCAGTCTGCTAGGTGGCACCCAGTACGTAGGTAAGATTATGGAATGCTTAGATTATTGATTGACAGTGTTACTGACAGTAGCTCCCATTAACTATTAAATTAATTCATCTGCCTGTTATACAATGTACATATCCCCCACTTTGAAAAAAAACAACGTATGAGAAATCTCTAGTGCAGTGCTTCAGGTATGTACAGTTTAGATGTGTATAAGA